CCAAGACCTACTTTCTACGCAGTCTGGAAGGTAGGTACATAAGATATGTTCTAATGCATCTGAATATATTTTATTTAAATAGTCAAATATTCAATAATTAAAAGAATTGAAATAGGAAGTCAGTCCACCCATCCCTCCTCTGTAGAGGGGCCTATTGGCTATTTAATAAAATACTGTATTTTTTGTTGCCTCCTGGTAATGGAAACCTTGTTTAAGTAAAATACTATATTTTAGGCTGTCTCCTGGTAATGAAGACCTTGTTTATCTACAGGAAAACAAGGATTTATTTTGGAAAACAGTTACGTAAAAATCCTATTCAAAAACTTGGTTAAGTAGGGAAACAATTTAAGATGGTAGTAATACATTTTTCATTAAATAACAGAAGTGTCTTTAGTCCAAAGTGCCAGATTCTTCATGATTTTTTGGTTTAAAGGCTTCTCTCTCTGTCTATCTCTGTCTCTGTCTCTCTCTCTCTCACACACACACATACACACACACACTGCCTCCAGGATGCTATAATTCATAATAACGTAATGAAAGCAAATAAAATCTTCATGGTATAGTGGAAAGAACACTAGCCTGAGGGTTAGAAGCCTTGAATTCTCACTCTGACTCTGTCAGTGTGATCTTGGGGACAATTCATTAAAGAGCTCTGGGCCTCAGTTTCCCCACTCATAAAATGAGAATATCAGCTAAATATCTCTAAAGCTCTAAAGTTGCAAACCTGTAAATTTAAATTTGAATAGCAGCAGAAGTGGAAGGAAGCATTTTTGCAGAAATTATTCACAAACATACCAGGATTCACCATTTGGTAAATACTGAGGGAAGCAATTCTACATGCTCAGGGGGACAGACAAACTGACAAAGTCTGTCTTGTCCAGAGTTCTCATGAATCTAGGTGATATGAAGGCTAACGGTGGTGGTGAGGGGGGAGGGGCTCCACTTTTCAAAGTGAAGGCAGCATCCCTTTTTGAGGACAGAAGTAAGTCTTGGTTCCCAAGTATTCCTCTGCTGCTTTCTCCAGGGATACCATCCTGAAGTTTCCCAACGGGACAAACATTGCCCTGTCAGCCATAACTTCCCTCCTGGCCTGTCTGATGCATGGACTGGGCTCTCTGCTGGCTTCCAGAGCCTGGCTGTAACCTCAACCTCTCTTTCCCATTTTGCTCTCCCATCATTTGCTGGTTGGGTGGTGCTGCCCTTTCCTGAGGTAAAGGACCAAAACTGCCAGTAGCTCTGCCCAAGTGCAACTCTGTTCAAGGCATCCTCCCTGACCATCCCGGCTGATACAGCTACAGCACGTTCTGTCCCCTAACCTGCTTCACTGTTCTTCAGAAGACGTATCACACCTGGACATACGGTCATGTATTTTTGTGTCCCTCACCTCCACTAGAGTGTAAATTCCAGCAGAGTTTTGATCTTTATTTTATCCTCAACACATAAAGCAAAACCTTGGAACAAAATAAACACATAGGCTGTTAGCTCAGGGCCAATCTTCCTCCGCATAAAAAAGAGGAGGATTGGCATCAGATGTTAGCTCAGGGCTGATCTTCCTCACACACACACACAAAAAGACACATAATTGGTATCTGTTGGATTAATGATATACGTATTACGGTAGATCCAGATCATGATTTGATTTTTTCACCAATCAACCCCCACAAGCCCTATCCCCAAGGAAAAATTCAATCAATGTGCATTCAACTAAAGTACCAGACGTTTTTTGATCCTTACTGTGATTTATGGCAAGGAGGTACTTTGGCCCCATTTTATGGATAAGGAAATGGAGACTCAAGGAGCTAAGTGCATTGCTGTAGGGTAGACAGCAACTAAGTAGAAAGCTGAGAATGAACCCAGGTTTTCTGACTCCAAGTCCACTGTTCATTTCCCTATTTCATTCACCACATCTGCATCTTCTCTGTTTCCCCATCTTTAATGGCACCATGTGTATTGAATCAAGCTCCCATAGATAAAATAATTAGATGCAATTGAAGCCTTCCTAGAACTAAGATGCAGTTTTTGAAACCAGGTCATTTCTTAGAGCAGCAACCAGTACCACGTGCTTTTCAACACTGATAATATCACTTTTCAACACTGATAATATCACTGTGGGGTGTAGGGGCGGGGTGGGGCGTTGTTTAATATCACACATTAACTTGTCTGTAGCAAAAGAAGAGTGCAATGGCTCCCACAAACTTTGGTGCTCCCGATGTGATCCTCAGAGGAGACATTCTTGGAAAGGAGAAGAGAACATGATACAGAAGTACTTATCATAAGAGGGGCAATGAGATTGAGATTTTGTAATCACACAGAGTTGTGCAAATTATGCACAAAATAAAGGGTTTCTGCAAAGAAATCCAGACGTGCCTGGCGTCCTGGACCAAATACCTCCTCAGTGCTGAGACCCGTAGGTATTTGGAAATATAGATATGCCTTATATTTGAGGAAGAAATACACAGGCGCATAAAAACCACATCCCAGAATTACGCAAAGATGATTTGTCAAAGCCATTCAAACTGGGAACACACATTCTGGATTTGTGTCTACAAATTAGATATGGTATAGTATCTTCAGATCTCTATCAGTCTAGGACAGGATTTTGTGGCCCTCTATCAGTACAGGACAGGTACACGTCCTCGTAAGAGCATACGAGCATGATAGTTTAGGAACAAAGAGGACTGGGAAGATACTATTGTAGAGGTAATTTAGTCCCGCTGTTTCATTTTTACAACAATTTTGATGCTCAAACAGGCTTGATGGACTGTGCATTCTCACAGGGACAACAGGAGTCAGCTGGCCTCTCTTTGTCCACTGTCCTCTCCAAGCACAATGGGAGTGGGGTCTGGGAACCCCAAGATCCAAAGGTCACACATGAACAAGAAACTGTGGCTTTCACACAACTTAAATACCAAAGTACACACTAAAGACTCACTCCTTCAGAACTTGGGGGACTGAAGATAGCTTGAAAAGCCACTGCTCTGTGGGTGAGTCTGCATAGCCGGGTCACCTGGATGAGAGACAAGGGTGCTCCTGGGGAGAGTTTGGAGTGACTCACAGGCTCCCGCCACTCACAGGGAAAAGAAGACCTTCACTCCCATACTTGGCATGAAGCTCAGGGTCCTGCTCTAAGCCTATTCTCACTGCCTGCCATGCCAATCCCTATGTTGTGTATCTAAAGAAGTTAGCACATCCTGGGTACACAGACCACAGCTTCCTCCCTTTGCTCAGGGCCTGTGCTTAGAGGTCTGAGCGTCGCGGAGATATTGCTTCACTTCTCCTTAGGGTGTCCACATCAAGACCCCGGAGCCATCTTACCACCCTTCCGGATCAGATGGGGGCTTTCTGGGTAAGTGGTATGTGTCCTTATGAGGGGCCGTCTTCTAGAGTGGAGCATCTTATTACTGAACCAGGAATACACAGACATTGCATGCACGCATGAACGTGAAGAGAAACAGGCATGAAATGACCAGTGACCACCCCACCCTCACTATTGGAGTCCTCTCTCACCCACTCATCACCCACACACTCTGAATTTGAGGAGCCCAGGCTCACAGAGGCTCCTTTTAACCCATTACAATCAGTCATCTCATTTCCAGATTTTCAAGTTCCTTTTGTTGCCGCCTTTTACCTAAGTCAGCATATTTCAAACTTTCAGAAAAAAAAAAAAAACCTTAGAAAATAAAAACCACTACCCCACCCAAATGATAAAAATCTCTTGAATTCTCCAAGCCCAACATCTTGCCCTCCTCTTACTCAGCCCTGAGTAAAGAGTCCATTCCTTTGGGTTCTGGGGAATGGCGGGCTCTGCCAGTCCCCACATCACCAGCCTAATAGTTTTTCCAGACCGGCTGCTGCTTGGCGTTGTGCGGCAGCCTCGCAGCCCACTTCTGGTCCCATTCATTCCTCTCAGTCCTCTAAGGCCAGTCACGTTAGGGGGTGTCCCTCTTCTCTGCTCCTGGCCCCACTTCCCGTTCCAGAGGAGTAGGCAGTGAACCCTCCTGAAATCTGACATGAAACCCAAATCCTCACCCGTCCCTCTGGGCTGCAATTTGCAAACCAGACCCAGGCGTGAGGTGTGGAGTGAAAGTACGGAATAGGGGTTGGGGGCTAGGATTTGGCAGGGCAGTCACCGGGCCGCCGGCTCAGAGCCAGCCACCTTAGGATAAGCGGCTCTGAAGTGCGCGGGACTCTCTTGGAGAAGACCCTGGGAGCCCTTCCCCTGGAGCGGGCGCACGCCTGGCGCAGAGTGCCGCGAGCCGGCGAGGAGGAGCGGCGCGGACGGAGGCTGTGGAAGGAGATTCCCCGCCGGAGAAGCGGCGAGGCCGGCCCGTTAGTCCCGGGGAGGCGGCAGCTCCCAAGCGCCGAGGACCGGCAACAGAAGTACCAAGAGGAAGGGAAACGAGCCCGCGCTGACATGTAAACAGGGGCTTCCATCTGGAAGAGCCGGCTCCGACAGACCCCCAGACGCATACTTGCACCCCGATCCGCCTGCAACCAATCCACTTGCCCGCCCTGGGGCCCACCAGGCAGGGACCCGAGCTGGTGGCGGCTGCAGCTCTCCCCCCTGCCGCCTTCAGCCTCGGGTGAGAGGAAGCCGGCCGCCAGGCGAGTGCCCAGCGCCAGGGCCAGGGCGCCCTTGCTTGCCAGGTGGGAGTGGTGGACCCAGCGGTCTCCGGTCCCTGGCTTCGATCTGCGCCCGGGGTCCCCAGGTTTCAGGCCGCCCCGCCCGCAGCCCCGCCGGCAGCGCGGTGGGAGGGGGCCGGGCTGAGCTTTGGGGCAAGGGGTGCAGGGGAGATTGCCCGCGGCGGGGAGCCCAGTGGATCGCCCCCGCGAGCGAGCCTGGCCACCCGAGCGCGGGAGGAGACGGCGCGAAGCCAGGGCGCGGAAGGAAGGGAGAGTGGCCACGTCTTCCGGGACCCCGGCGCCCCGCGCCCAGTCTGCCTGCCGCCTCGCCACCCTAGCCGGCCCTGCCGCTGCGCGCCCACCGCCCCGTCGCTTACCTTAATAGTCCCGTCCATTTGTCCAAGTCTGCAGCCGAGCCCCCCAATATTCCACACATTGACCCGGTTACAGCCTGACCTCGCAGCCCCTTCGGATTAGCCCGGCGCGGCCTCCCTGGCGCCCTGGGCCCTCCCTGTGTGCCCCCCGCGAGCGCCCTGCCCTCGCTCCCCTGTGCACGTTTGTTGTTGTAGCGGAGCGAAAAAGAGACAGTTAACCGGATGAAACTTTTTTTCAGCTAATTTTGGGAAGTGACTTCACTTTGCGAATCGGGGAGGAAGTCCTATCTCTCTCTCTCTTTCTCTCTCTCTCTCTGTCTCGCGCTCTCCTCTCTCTTCTCTCCCCCCTGCTCTCCCTCGTCTTCCCTCCCCCCACACCCCCTCTTCCTCCCCTCGGCTGGTCCTGCTTTTCGCATCACACACACTATATAAATATACGTGGAGATGCCCAGATACATTCACGCGCTGCGCACACAGGATACTTGCTCTTGGGAGATAAGAGTGAGCCGGGAACAATGCCGGGGTCCACGCCCGACGCCCGCGCCCTGATTCCCGCAGTCTGTACCCCCCACCCCCAACACCTTCCCCCAAAGTCCAAAACCCAACGTCTTTGGCCTCCTTCCTTTTCCCGGGGCTGTTGGCTGAAGGTGGACCTCCTGACTCATTCACTTTCCGTTTCTTCCCACAGATACGTTCATTAATGCTTTTTCCAGCCGGAGTCAAACTTTTTTGGGGGGTGGGCGGCGGGAGCGTTTACTCGCGCTAGGGATAACCTGGAGCCTACTGCCCGGAAAGATCCGGATGCAGACTGAAGCAAACCAACCATTAAAAAAGGCACCCAATGGGAATTTTTCCACTCAGGGTCATGGCTGCCGAGTCGCTGCCGACTCCTGGAGCGGCTCAACGCATCCATGCGGACTCAGGGCAGTTCCGGACGGACCCCTGCTGCCCAGGGCGCAGACTGGGTGCCCAGCGCATTGTTAGCAGAGGGGCGCCCTCGGGGCAGTGCGCCTCGGCCCCTTGCTCCTGGAGAGTTGCCGGCGCCCACCGAGGGCGGGGACCAGCGGCATCCTAGGCCACCTATCTGCGCCTTCTAGGGTCAAACCCCTCACGCTTACCCGGACCCGATGGCCCAAACCCCGGCGCCCAGGCCAGAGCAGCCTATGAAATGCCACCCCGAGCCCCAAGAAACCTACACTACGGCGGCACCTTCCTCCAACCCTGCCAGGTCTCCAGAGCGCAGCACGCAACATCACGGCACAGACTCAGACATCTCACCGGGTGAGACCCGGGACCCCTGCTCCGGACCATCGTCCCCACCCAGCTGTGAGGCCGGCCTCCCCTCGGCCCGCCTTGTCAGCCCCCGCCACCCAGAGACCTCCCCGGTCCCGCTGCAGTGCCACCGAACTCTCCAGTTGGGGCAGCTTCAGGCGTCCCCGGCGCAGTGAGGGGACTCCCCTGGCGCTCTCAGCCTAACTCCCTTCTCCCCGACTTCCAAAACAGGTTACCTTGTCCACGCTCTCCAGACCACGCTTTGGACTTTCTCACTTTTATTTGAGTCCACCCGGGGAAGGAGGAAAAAAAAAATCCAGAGGAGATCCGAATCAATTGGAAAGAAAAAATTTCCAAAGGGTGTCCACAGCGGCGAGAAAGGTGATATTAATTCATTTCTTCAGGAGCAATTGAGCCCGAGAGCTCGGTCGCCTCCCTCCCTCCCTCCCCCCCACCCGCCTCTCGAAATTAGTCTCATCAATTCAGCTCCAATTTTGGGTTTGAATACAGACACGGGTCTGAACGTGACCAGACCCGGAGTGGCGGGTGCAGCCTGCCAGCAATTGAGACTCAGTGTGTGTATGGAGGAGTGGAGGGGGGGTTGGTGGGAGGGGGTGGGGTGGGGGCCGGGCCCACCCCCACCCCCATCTCCTGTCTGCTTCTCAATCCAGGGGTCTGCTCCGGGGCTCCCCTGGGACCGCCACATCTGGTTACCGCTAGCGGGGTCAGTCCCCCCCTTTGCCTGGGGCCACCAGTTCTGGAGTTCAATTAAAAGAAATCAGGCTTAACCCTTTCCTCCCCTCGGCCCGGCAGCTCGCCTTCTCACTCTTCCCTTCAGCGTTTCCACATGCTTTCCAGAGAGGAAAGAGGTTAAAGGGAAAGGAAGAATGAATTACATCCTTTCAAACCCCAAATTGTTTCCTTTTCAGCCCAGACTCTGCCGACCTTCAAACGACAAGAGGGCTTTCAGGAGGGTGCGGGGAGACCGCTTAGCACCCGGACCTGACCAGAAACCAGGAACCCCCAGCCACATTGCCCCTCTTTCTGGGAGAAAGGACTCCAACTTCACCGCCCGGAGGCCCCCTGCCTGGTGCTGGGCAAACACTGAGGCCGTTAATGGCCACCCCACACCAGCCGCTGCTCCCCCTCCGCACACACTCCTCCTAGTGCTTGAGAAGGCACCTCTGTGGCCAAACCGTTGGCTAGGTTTCTCTTCCCAATTCCTATTCAGCCTGGCAAATGACAGGTTGTCTTCACTGTGCTGATCAGTACAGTCACCCCAACATCCTTAGCACCCCCAACTCTTTTTAGCAGGAGCTGCGTCTCCCTTTGGGAGTGCTCAGTATGAAACCAGATTAAAATGAGGACTTGCCCTCTAACTTTAGCTGTGGAACTCAATAGCACTTTCTGTTTCTGCCTGTAAAACCAAAGCTATGGCAATTTCATAATTTTGAAGATGGTGGTGGTGGGGAGGGGCTGGCATAGGCACAACTGTCACCCCCTTGTGACTCACCGGCTGGCAGTGGTGCCATGCCTTTTAGTATTTACCAGTCCCTCCATGAGAAGCTCCTGTCCATTCACAAAGTCCTCCACCCAGAAAGAAGAACCCCACAACTCTGAACAGCTCTCTGAGGGAATATAAGATTGCCTCCATCCCGTGTTGACATGCTGGTGGGCAAGGTTGCCCACTTACGTAACCCTGGGTTTAATGCTCAACTCTACTGCTGCCGCTTCTTTTTTAAATCCCAAAGCGGGAAAAAGCCCTAACCAAACACAACAGTAAACAAGTTTGCCCTGTTTAACGTGGTTACCACCAGACATCTGGAAAGATGGTTTGATCCTGGCAGCTGACATTGTTTTCACGAGCAGCCAAAGAGAATATTTCGAATGTTTGCATTGAGACAAATTGATAGAGAGCCTGTGGTGAGGTCGCTGCAAATGAAAACTTTCTTGGAGTAGTGTGTGGAGGGAATGTGTGTGGCGGGAACGTTTCCCCTTGTCTTTCCTCCCGTTTCTCCCCTTCCTCCTTTTCTCTCTCACCTCTCCCCTCTCCTTTCTCCTCCTGGCCTAGCTAGGGACTGGTGCCCTGGGCCCACACTTGCACACGTCCTCTTTCCTGGCTCCTCAGAGATGGTCCTGCCTCTGCCTTCCCCAGACTGGGCAGGGCTGGTGACCAGAAGCTGGTGCCGGTACCATACATGCCCATGCCACCAGCCCTGCCTGGCTTTCAAGTAAGGGGAAGCTCACAGTCAAGGAAGCCGGCCAGCATTTAAAAGAAAAGGTACCAACTGGGAAGAGGGGGACCAACAAGATAGCCCATCACACATTTCTAAGTCTAGGGTCACTTACAGAAAGCATGCACATGGGGACAAATATTCAGGAAACATTTGGATTTGGAGCATTTTCATTGGAACTTTGGTGGGATGACCTGCCTCTCACCATCCGCACTTGACGATATTTTCAAAGATGCGGAAGTCCTGCTTCCCCCGGGAGTGGAGCGGCGGGGTGAAACGTGTCTTGGCTCGCTCAATGTCAGCCCTTTTGACCCGGTCAAGACTTTCCAGACGCGGCTTCCCGGGCTTCTTCGGTCCCAGCCTCAGTTGGGGGTGGGAGAACGCGACAAACGGAGCCCGATCCCTGGGCTGCCCCGGGATGGTCCCGTTACTTGAAACCCCGAAAGATGCCAGGCCTGGCAGAGCGTCTAGGGCGGATCCTCCCCCCTCTGTCCTCCCTCCTTCCAGCCCCTCCAGTCCAGCGCGGCCTCAGCGGCGGGCATTCGAGCCGGCAACCGGCGGCTGGGGGGAGGGGGGGAGGGCGGGGGAGAGGCGGGGGCGCGGGGGAGGGATGGGTGAGCGAGCGCCAAAACTCCAGACTGCACAACTGCAGCTTCAAGTGTCGGGCCCCTCGCTCGAGGCCATAATTAATTTGAGATTTATTTTTATTGGAGAACTCGAGTCTCGTCTGACCTTAGCCAAACAAGGCAGCTCGAGCCGCCCCTGGATGCGCTTGAATGCCGGGGAATATTTCTGCAGGAAGGCTCTACTGGCGCGCCTGCTTTGAATTTGTTTCTCAGACTTCATCTACTCACAGATTGAAGGAAGATTTAGAGCCTCTGCTCGCCCTGCCCGCTCTCCACGCTCGTTCTTGCCTTAGCGCCAAGCGGGTTCAAAACGCTACGTGGGAGGCCGCGGCGGCGGGAGGGCCGGGGGCCAGCAGGCTCGGGAGGGGGAGGGTCTCTGCGCTCCCAGCCCGGGCTGCTCCCGGGCCGGGTCCCCAGACCATACGGCGTCGATGAGTAAACCCCAAGGGAGTCCGAGGCTGACCAGAGAGCGCAGGCTGACAAGAGGTGGAGACCAGCCAGGTGCCGGGACCCTCACCCAGTGGCGGTGCCTAGATGGGGGCCTTAGAGGGAAGGGAAAATTCCAGCCTCTCCAATCTCCATCCGCCCTGCCTCCTAGCCGCCCGAAGCAGCATTCATTCTAAGTACAGACCTGTGCCCTTGAAACGCTGCTTCAGAACCTGCCGGCCAGATGCTGGCCCTGGGCCGTGTTGCTGTGAACATTCTGGGGCTACCAGCCTCCTTTCCTCTGGTAGGGGGTATCTCACCCCAAATGCAGCATGGGCTGACCCCGAAGGCTGGTTGATGGGGGAGCGAGAGCAAGGGGTCCGGGAGACTCGCAAAAAGGGAAAGAGGAGGACCCTGCCAGTCTCGCGTGGGGCGGGCGATGGGCCTGAAGGGATGTGCTCCGCGCTGGGATTGACAAGTGCTTTGTACGGCGCTGGCACCGTGTATGTGCCTGGTCAGGGTTACTCCACTGGGTCTCCTGCGCCCTCCACCTTATATCTGCAAGTGGAACGTCCTGGTTGAACGTTCCCACTGGGGGACCTGGCTCCTTGGGTTTGAATTCTTGCTCTGCACTTACCAGCTCCGTGTCCTTGAGCAAGTTCCTTAACCTCTCTGTGCCTCAATGTCCTCATCTGTACGTTGGCGTTATAATAGGATGCACCTCAAAGGGCTGTTGTAAA